GAATAGGTGTGTTAGCCATGGGAAATGCAGGGATAGGGTTGGAGGTGGGTCTGGGTGGGATGCTCTTCAGAGGGTTGGTGTGGACTCGATGGGCTGAATGGCCTGTTTCCACACTGTCGGGCTTCTATGATAAATGGTTCCCTTCCTAACTTTAAATTATAATTCAGATTCTCCCCCCAGAGCCTTAAACCAGCATTTGATGTTTCCTGTTTCCAGTGAGTCCTTTATGCTGATAGTAACCTTCTCTCGCTTTTATCTTCTGTTTGCAATTTTCATTCTCGTTTTCCCATGTCCATTACTTGCCTTTTAATTTCTATTTCCTGCCTTCTGGATCCGTTTCCCTTTCCTTATTGAACTCTATCCTTTTCCTGCAATGTCCTTCTTATTTCTGTCCTCATGCTTAAGCTGCTTTAACTGTAACTGTACATTACCCCGATTCAGCTGTTGCTCTCTCCAAAGCACATGGTCTCTCTTGCATTTGTTCTAAGTCCCAAGTCCAGTGCCTGTACCTTAATTATTCTTCACTGTTGCTGATGCTGTGTCTGAAATGCAGCGCAGAATTTGGTATTTTATTCATCTGTGTGCTTTACTAATGCCAAATCCTCATCGCCTCGCTTTCAAATCTGTCCTGGATGAAAGATCAAGTTATCTATCAAGCTTTGCTGCACTTCACTATGATAGTCCACTGAAAATCAAGCCCTACTATTTCTGGAGTCACCACAAAAGTTAAAAGTGTTGAAAAATGACACAGAATTCTCCAATTTTCTTGACTTTCAGACCCTGATTGATCAAAAGCCTAGACCAGGTTTCCTTGCTGATTCCTATTACCTGTTTCCTGTTGCTCAGCCAACTTCCTATCCGTGTCAATACTTTAGGCCCATACCATGAGATTCCCGTAGTGAAGGCCATTGCAGGTGAGTGCCAAACCAGGCCAGGGCAGGAGGCGAGTCTCAGACCAGAGGCCAGGGTTGATTTGGAGGTCACCGGGGGGGGCGGGGGGGGGGGGGGGGGGGGGGGGCGCTGCGGCTGCAAAGCCTTGAGTTTTGAAGCCTGTTATGTTCTGCAGACTCTGGCCCAGTGTAGTCCGGCAACTAGGCGCTGGCACAGACTGGGGTGAAAATGACTGTCATTCGAATACTTTTTTTTCCTTTTTGTTCTTATGCTGGACTTTTATTTGGGAGGGGATGGCCTAGTGGTATTATCGCTGGACTGTTAATCTAGCAACCCAAATAATGTTCTGGGAACCCGCGTTCAAATCCTGCCACAGCAGATGGTGGAGCTTGAATTCAATAAATGTCTGGAATTAAGAATTTAATGATGACTGTGAAACCATTGCTGATTGTAAGGGGAAAATCCATCTGGTTCACTAATGTCCTTTAAGGAAAGAAACTGCCATTCTTAATAAAAACTGAAAGAACTGCAGATGCTGTAAATCAAAAACAAAATTGCTGGAAAAGCTTAGCAGGTCTGGCAGCATCTGTGAACTGCTGTCCTTACCTGGTCTGGCCTACATGTGACTCCAGACCCACAGCAATGTGATTGACTCTTAACTGCCTTCTGGGCAATTAGAGATGGGCAATAAATGCTGCCTGGTCAGCAATGCCCTCATCCTACGAATGAATAAAGAAAATAAAATAATTATTCTTTCAATTTTTTTTCCTAAATAATTAAGTATCTGTACCCACGGTACTTTGTACCTAAGATGGCACAATGAAGGGCAACATTGCAAAGTTTTCACTCACTTCGAGTGATAATAAAACTAATTCTAATTCTAAAAACTAATTTCAATTCTAGCTTTTATTTCCTACAGTAATCTTTGATGTAGCACTGTATCAAATGCCTTCTGGAAATTTAGATACATCTACTGGTTTCCCCCTTTACCTACACGTCAAATTGCTTCTTCAAAGAATCCCAAAATACATTAGTTAAATTCAACTACTGCTTGAACAAGCAGCTGTGTAAACAACACTTTCAATGAGTTGTACTATATTTTATAGCATGGTAAAAGGCCCTTTGGCTCATCATGTCTGTACCGGTAAGCAAGCATCTTTCTAACCTGTACCATTTTCCACCACTTGAGCTGTAGCTTTGTATGCTGTAGTCTATCAAGTGTTCAACTAAATACTTCACAAGTATCTACAGGGTTCCTACCTTTTAGGCATTGAGTTCCAGGTACTGCTACCTTTTAGGTGAAAAGATTTTTCCTCAAATCCCCTGTAAACCTTCTGCTCTTCACCATGAAGCTGTGTCCCCTCATTGTTGACCCCTCTGCTTAGTCTTCCTATCAGTGTCAGGTCACTTGTTTTTTTTTTAAAAACATACGGTAATCCTTGATTTTTAAAACAATTCTTCTCTAATCGCAGTCTGCAAATAAAAATACAGAAAAATAAAAAGATGCAGTCTTTACAGCATTGACAAAGACCCGATTATGCTAATCCCATTTTCCAGCTCTTGGCCGATAGCACTGGAGGCTGAAGCCATGCAAAAGAAAATCTAAATCCTGTTTAAATGTTACGAGAGTTTCTAATGCAATCAGCCTTTCAGGCAGTGATTTCCACACTCCCATCACCTTCAGGTGAAAAAATATTCACCTCAACTCTCTTCTTAACCTTTGACTTCTGATCTTAAATCTATGCACCCCTACCTAGCTTTGACCTCTCTACTAATGGAAACAATACTTTTTTCTCTATCTATACCTCTCACAGTCATATCAGCTCCCCTCTCAACTATCGCTGTTCCAAGTAAATAACTCCAAGATACCCAATCTTTCGTTGCCCAAAATGGCCTTGTTTGAAGATCTTTCCAAAATGTCAATCCTCCACACAATTGATTCCTTGATCAAAATTGTGGCCATCTCATCTATTTCCCTCCCTATCTTGTGTGAATACCCTTTGATGAGGAATATTGAGCTGCCATGTGTACCACACTCCCATGTGCCCGCTCCAGTGACGAGGTCATTCATTCATTCATTCATTCTCCCTCCACACGGAAGGACAGGACAACGCATGCGCTACGCATAGCCCCGGTGGACAGACAACGCGCATGACCGTGGCGTCACGACGCGCTGTCAGTGGGGTGGGCGGGGACAATGACGTGAGCGCGCAGGACGCATGCGGGCTGGCGGTGGGAGGCGGTTTGGGGCGAGAGCGCGCGAGGCGAGGTTTGAAACGAAGACGGAAGGTGAGAGCCTGAGAAAGGAGGGAGAGGGTGAGGTGAGGTAGGGTAGGGTGCGGTGCGGCTGGGGTAGGGAAAAGGGGGAAGGTGCGGCTGGGGTAGGGGGGAAGGGGGAAGGTGCGGCGGGGGTGGGGGGAAGG